CTCCTCCTCCTCCTCCTCCTCCTCCTCCTCCTCCTCCTCCTCCTCGTCCATTCCTTTTCCTCCTCCATTCCATTTCTTTACAAATAAACCCTCCCTGTCGCACCCGGAGGCCGGTCGAAAGGGCGGGCTGGGCGTTTCGCCTGAGACTTCCTTACAAAATATGATCATGAAGCTTAAAGTTCATAATCGTTGCACGGATGGAAGGCGGGTCGTTTTCAAAATATTGCTCTCGCATTAGCGCCGCGAACATTCGTCTCAGAAATGTGTAAGAGCTTCATGGGTTGAGGGCGGGTCATTTTCAAAATGTGGCTCTCGCCACCGCGCGCGCACATTCGTCATACAAGATTGTAAGAGCGTCACGGGTTGAGGGTGGTTCCTTTTCAAAATAGGGCTCTCGCCTCAGCGCCGCGCGAACTCGTTTAAACATTTGCAAAAATTCAACGGGCTCCCCTGGTCAACAAAACAGAAATGGTGTTTTGGAACGATGCAGGACCGTCAGGGCGCAACAGTTACGTTGGTTCTCGGTGTTGAAGTCCCAGGAATGGTGTTCTGACACGATTGAGGATCGTCAAAACTCAACAATCAAATTGATGCGTGGCGTTGGAGTCCCGAGGATACTGATTTGGCACGCTTCGGGACTTTCGAATGGTTATCTCACAACGGGGCACGTCTCTCAGTGGAAATGATTCCTTGCAGGGGCCTATGAAGAGGGCGGCTTGGAAGGAGGGCTGATTCCAACATCCTTGATGGGTCCTGGGTTTACACTGGTCCTGTTCATCCTCCTCCTCCTCATCCTTCTCCTCCTCCTCCTCCTCCTCCTCCTCCTCCTCCTCCTCCTTCTGCTCCCCTGATCCCCTGGAGCCCTTACTTCCTCTTACTCTAGAGCAGCTCGACAAGTTCTTGGGACCTACTCTTCGTCTACTGGACCAGGCTGGGACAAAGCTTCACCCGAGGCAGCTCCTCTGAATTCCCCAGTGCTGCAGACAGGAGTTATGGGATATGTTGCATGCCTGGAAAAGACGGCCGCTAAGCCAGGACTTGTGGCTGCTCCTAGTTCTCTTTACTAATAAGCCTGCGGGCGGAGTCCGTCCCATTGTGCTCTACTCTCTCAGGAGTCGCGTCTGGTCTAGACTCAGGCAACCCATTGCCCGACGGTGGAAACGTTCGCTTGCCAACCCAGCCTTCTGGGGAGACTCAGGGTTCACTTGTGATAGGTCAGGGCACGTTCATAATATACTGCAGCGCTTTGCACGTCTCACAGGGTTCAGTGCCACTAGTGGCGCGCTGGACCTCAGTGAATACTACGAATACAATTCTCATCAGGGGCTTAAGCAGGAGGCTGTCGCCACAGGGTTTCATCTAGCTCTGCTGCAGTGTCGTTGCGTGGCGTATAGGATTCCTCGGCGTGCAGTCTGGGAGGGGGCGGTCTCGCTACCCGATGCTGCCAACGGGACCGTGACAGCGGGCTGCAGTTATGCTTTGGCGTTGGCCAATGTGCTTGCGCATACGCTGCTCATGAAGTTTCAGAAGCGTTTTCCTCTTGCTCGGTTCCAGAATATTGTGGATGTTTCTTTCTTTACTCCAGGCCGTGGGGTCCCTGGCGCTTGTGGTTAATCAGCTTCCTGACGCCATGATGGCGCTGGTCCAGGGCCTGGAAGCGAAGCGTCCCAAAGTCAACTGGTACAAGACTGGTTTCTTTTGTGTAGCCGTAGGCAGCTCACAGACTGTCTCTCGGTCAGATGGAGCCTTAAGGAGGAGGGCCGTCTGGTAAGAGCACGCAACCTAGGCACGGACTCGAACGACGGGCCCGCTCGGCTGGTCGGGGAGCAGAACAAGCACCTCGAGAAAGCTCGCCGTGGTGCCAGCAAGGTTTTTCCAAGAAGAGAGGCTGGCGCGCAGGTCAGCACTACCATGAGGGGCTCGCCCACGGCTGCGGCGACTTGGGGCTCGGCTGTGACGGGGGTGTCGGACCAGAAGTTGCATGGCTTGCGAGCGTCTGCCTCAGAGCTTAAAGGTCGCCTCCGTGCTGCCACCTCTGCTGGTCTTAGACTTCGCGCTACCCCTGGAAGGGCATATTAGGGATCCGTTGGTGGCTCGTTCTGTGGAGGTCATGCAACACTGGGTCCTCGCGGCCACGTCGGCCCTCCCTGGACAGGGGGTCTTTGGAAGCCGGCTGGTGCGCTGGTCGCTCCCTTCGTTTCCGGCCCCGTCCCTGGGCCCAATGTGCTGACCCTGCAGAAGCCATTTTACTGTGTTTGGCCCGCGTCGGCATCAGCATGCCGACGACCGTCTCCTGTGGTCCAGGATGAAGAATACTCCGTTCTGGAATTTTCTTCTGGATTTTGTTGTGAGCGTGTCCGGGAGGCCTCCCTGGATACCTCTGACTTGCATGCCCTGAGACATACTACTGGTGCCTGGACGGCACCCCTGCATTGGGGCCCCTTGCGCAAGCTTCTTGGCAAGGCCCTGTCGGATACCTGAACGCCCCACCACAAATCCGCCGATCCGGCGTGTGAGTTTCAAGGGGTCTCAGCTACAGCCTCGAGGCTGAGCCTCAGCCTCTGGGGGGATTGCCCGGGTGGCTCTGCCGGGGAAGGGGGGGGGGTGGGGGGGGGGTACGAGTTTTCTGGCGATCGCGGGGCGCTGCTTTTACAGAAGGCTCTAATCTCGAGGGTGCGCTGAAAGGGTGGCCGCGGCCGCAAAAGTCTCTGAGGACGATCTAAGAAAGTCCCGAGACCCCGAAAGATCGCCCGAACACGCCCAAGATGGCCCCAAGACGGCCCCAGAGCCTTCCAAGACGTCTAAAGAGGCCTCCAAGAGGCCACACACGAGGGCCCCCAGAGGCAAAAATCATTGATTTCCATTGGTTTTTTGAAAGTTTTTGGGGTGGTCGCTTTTTTCGCTTTCCGACGCTCCAAGACGGCCCAAGAGGCCCCCAAGACCGCTCGAAGACGGCCCAGGAGGCCCCCAGACAGTCCCAAGACGGCCCAAGAGGGCCCCAAGGCGGCCCAAGAGCCGCCCAAGACGGCCCAAGAGGCCCCCAAGACGGCCCCAAGAGGACCCAAAAGAGGGACGAAAAGCACAAAAAAATCTAGCCTTTCAGCCCACGAGGCCCCCAGGAGGCCCCAAGAGCCCCCAAGAGGGCCCCCAAAAGCCCCCAAGAAGCCCCCACGACGCCCTGACAGGCTCCCAAGATGGCTCAAAAAACGCCCCAAGAGGGCGTCCTTGCGCCGATAGGCTCGCCTCCACCGCTCGCACCACATCGTCCAGGCCACATGTTTCGTAACAAGACTCCGTGCAAGACGTACGCTTCGCACACACACACACACACACACACACACACACACACACACACCACCTACCCCATCACACGCGACGCCCAAGCGAGTTCAGGTGTGTGCTGCTGTGCGAGTGTCTGTGTGTGGTGCGTGTCTGCGAATGTCTGTACGTGCTAGTGTCTGGCGTGCGCCTAGTGTGTCTCTGTATGTGTGTCTGCCGTGTGTGCATTTGGTCGTGTGCGTGCGTGAGGTGTCCGCGTAATGTGTGTATCCGCTCGGCGTGCGCGCGCGTGCGTTTCCTAACTGGTATGTGTGTGTGTGTGTGGGTGGTGGTGTGTGTGCATGTCTGCGGCGCGAATTAGGTGGTGTGACTGTGTGTGTGCGTTTGAGTGTGCGCCCATAATGTCTGCGTCTGGAGAATAACACCGAGCGACCCGGATCGGCGGCACTGGCCGAAGGCCACTACAATATGTGCTGAGGTCCCTGGTGGGTGGCAGTGACTGCCCTCAAAAACGTGTGTTCGATCATGGTAGTAGTACGGATGACGAAGGTTGCCTCTGAGCCAGAGAAATGCTGTTTCACCGATCCTGTGAATGTCCCTGCCTGGCCCAGCTCAGGAGGGAAGAGTGGCCCACGTTCGTTCACGAGGCTGCTAGAAGAGTCAGGGACAAATGTGGAGAGTTACGTGAGGAGCTCTTTTGTCGCTGCCTCTTCCCTAGCACCTCTCGCTCCTTCCCCAAGGCCATGCCTCAGCCTGAGCATCTTCGGAGATGGGTTGGAGTGCCGGTGAGCTGGAGGTTTTCTGGAGCTGCCTTCGTGCTCTCTTTCAGGCCTCAGTCGAGCGGGCTGGCCCATAGCACAGGTTGACAGAGCAGGCCAGCTTCAAGAGGCTGTCTACGGAGCTGTTCCTCCACACCTGGCCCCAACGCGAACGGCGCGGGATGGAGAGGACTGCGCGTTTCACGTTCCCAGGTCTCGGAATGGAATTCGGAGGACCCTCTCGCGGTTTACTGACTTGATTGGCTCTATCAGCGCTGCGTCGGATCCTGGAATTGAATCCTGATGGGACGGCATCGGGAGCCGCGCCCAAGTCCAAAAAGTCGGAGCCCATGTTGCCGTATAGTCGGCGTCGGATGACTTCGAGGACTGGTGTTTTTGGGGTAACGTCTGGCTGACATCTGGGCCAAGAAGGGCGCGAAGCTCTGGGCTGTGCCCCCCCCAACATGTGCTGTTCGTAGAGGGGATCGAGACTCCGGCTTTGGTAGCCTGTGGCTGGCATGCACATGCGCAGGCTGCCTCTGGGGCTGCTGAATCTGTCGGCTCTGGGGGCATAGCTGACACCTCAGACGTGGTCCGTGTGCCCGATCTTGTCGAGTTCGGTGGGACCCCTTGGAGTTTCAATGGTCACTCTGTTGTGGAAGCCCCTGTTTAGCAGATCCAACATGGAGTGGCCGTAGAAGAAGGCCTGCATATGCTCTTCTGTAAGGTTTGTGGGGCCTCAGTTGCCAGGTTCTGGGGCAGGGGCAAAGGTCTCGACGCCCAGTGTCTCGGCAGCCAGAGCCCAGGTCTCATGACTCAGAGAGAAACATGGCGCGAGCGCACCTGGCTTGTCCTCCCTTCATCTCTCCTCTCTCCTCTGTCCTGTCTCCTCCTTCCTGCCCCCTGCTCCCTCCTCCACGTCCATCTCTCCTCCTCCCTCTTCCACCTGCTCCATCTCTCATTCTTTTCCGCATCGCGCAGCCGCCCAAGACTCCACTGCCAAGGCCGGGGCCAGGAGACACTTCCGGTCGGCCTGGCCCTGCCCGACGGCAACGGGCAGCTGCGCCGCAGCGTCGCCGCTCGGCACCGACCACGGCGCACTCTGGAGCTGTGGTCTGCCCGCAGTCCCCTCTTAGAGTTCACCAGGCGCGTGAGATTCGGGCAGGTCCACGCCGCGACGGCGCTGGCGGCCTTGAGCCCGCAGACCTGCCCGAACGTGCCCGAGAGCAGGGAAGAGCACCTGTCGGAGGAGCACGACGAGGGCGAATGCGAGGCAGAGGGAGGAGCCACGTCGCGATGACAACGGCGCTGGTCTTTGACACCGACTGGCTCGTTCAATCTTGCACGACCGCAGCTTTCGGATGGCGCAGAGCGTTCGATATTTGCTGAATCCAGGCCGCCACCTGCGTTCAACCTTTCGCGCACCTGCGCTTCGGCTCGAGCCGTGGTGCCCAACGACCAGCTGAGTCTCGTGCGTTTCTCCCGCCGCCTCGCGGTGGACCCTGAGCTCCTCGGTCTCGACTCGCCCATTGAACGCAAGCAACTTCAGCGGATGCTGCTCTAGACCAGCCAGACGAGCGGGTCGGCGACCCGCAGACGCGAGCGGGATCGGGAGGACTTCCCCCATGCCTCGACGGCCTCCAGGGGCTGCTGCTGGGGCGAGAAGAGGGGCGGCCGTGCAAGAAGGCAGGGGACCTCTCAGAAGGGCGCTAGGGGCTTCCGAGAAGGCCTCTGAGAGGCCCAGAGGGTTTCTTAAAAGGAACCCTCTGTGCCTTCGTAAAGGCCGAATCCCTCTTGCGGCCTC